CTTCCACACAAATGGGGCTATCACTCTGAAGAACTAAATGTAAGAATAGCACAGCAAGCCTTGAGGGACACTGACACCCTAATCATGTTATTGAATACACAATTAAATAAGTCCAATGGCTCTGACTGTTGGAAGTACTATTTTGAAAGATTCTTACATTTCTAGTCACCTAGAAAGATTCATTATTTTTAGAATGTAGGGATAGCTAGAGGGTGGGGGCTGGCATGCTCCGTGAGTCCTTTCTCAGAGACGTGACTAGTTCATTTCTGAGCTTTGCATTTTAGAACCCTCAAGAAGCTCTGAGTTTCCACTCACCCAGTTACCAAGTTCATACATTGTAACCACAGAATCTAACAGTTGATCTGCGACTTCTCTGACTTTATGCTACCCTGTGGTCAAATATTTTCATTCCTGGTGAAAGAAGGAAATGATTTCATATTGACTAACAAAAGTCAACATGGGAATGTACTAATCATGTGCATGATCACAAGATGTACATAGCACATATGAGTAACTGAGAAGTAACGAATCAAGTCAAGCTGCTTTGTTAGATGGCGGACACATTACAAGTTAGCGCAGTAAGGAAGTGGTGTCCTGTTCCGTGTGTCTGTCCTGCGGCTCTGGCTCAGGTGAAAATCCAGAGTCTCACCCTCCTTGGTCCGAGCCTTCCATGGAAGCTGCTCTATCTGCCATTAGAGCAGAGAGAGGGACCTTAGGGTCCACTTTTGACGAAAAAGCTTATGCAGGATTTACTCTGAGAACACTATTGTACTTCAGTTATTTTGGTGAAAAAAATGTACTTCCCTCATTAATTTGAAGAAACATCAGTTGTGAAAATTATTTTTAAAAGACTGGCTTTAGTTGTAAAAAGAGGACAGAAAACAATTTAACTTGGTTATTTTTTCGGTTTTAGTAAGAGATGTAAACCACTTAAGTCGGGCTCCTTAAAAATTAAGAAAAGGTCCACAAAGCATTCAATATTGAAAAAAGTCTTAATCACACATGATCTTTTAGTTTCAGTTTATGGTCAGTTGATGTAGAAAGGAAGGCTAGAATGAAACAACAATCACAGAAGTGGGAGAGAATAGATGGAGACACAAGCACCCAGACAAAAATGGAGAAAGATACAAGCAGCAAGAGAAAGAAAGAGGAGGAGGACCAGAAGGGATTCGAAACGAACAGCTTCATGGGACTCCGAGAAAGGAGCACAGGGCCTGTAAACACGAGCTGTCCGTGGCTTTCATCAGCATTTGGCTGAAGCCTTACTCTCCACCTGGAGTACCTGCTCCACGAACACAGGGACCATGAGGCTCTCGCTTACCATGGTTTCACCAGTGCCCAACACAGACATGGTCAACATAGGAAGAATTAGTGAATGAATGGATGGACAAAACAACAGGTGAAGAAAGAGAGTGTAGGGAGAGGGAGTCCCGGCCCCGGGACACCTGTGATAGGATTTGTTCGAAGGTGGCTTCACAGAGTCTCACCTATGTTCTCTAAAGATGTTCTGCAGTCTGCTAAGCCTCGGAGCAATGGTGTGCTTCTGTTTCGGAAACTTTCTGGAAGTTGATGCTTCCACCATCCCGACCCTGGGTATCGCCATGTCAGCTGGGACCTTCTCGCTCCAGGCCCACCCGTCTGAGGCTCTCCAGCCCTCTGGCCCATCAGCTGCCCCGTCCCCTGCCCTGAAACCCTGTCATGGTACAGACCACCTCTCGCATCCCAGAATGCCGCCTTCTTGGCTCTCCCAAGACCGCCCTTTGTCTTTTAGCCCACTTGGTGGCAGCTGCCTCTTTCCCCAACCCCTCCGTACTGAGGGCCCTGCAAGAGGGTCAGCAGACTAGGTTTCCCTTCACTGAGAAGCCATCACATCTTCACCTTCACGTGAAAATGTCCTTTTTCAAGCCTTTCCCGTCACTGCCTTCTAGTAGCTCCTGGTCACATCTGGGACCAGAGTTTGGCCCTTGGCCACCCACAGCCTCTTCATCCACCCAACTAGTGACCTCCTTCAGGATGACCTCAGGGACTTTGCACACAATTCATCCTAAGGATCAGCCCCTGCAAATCCAGCAATTTCAAAAAAATGTAGTAAAATACACATAATATAAAATTTACCAGTTTAACCCTTTTAAGCATACAGTTTTACAGCATTAAGTACATTCCCATTGCTATGCAACTGTCACTATGTCCCTCTGCAGAGAATTTGCATCTTCCCCAACTAAAACTCTGTATCCATTAAATCCTAACTCCCCCAGTTTGCTGATACTCTAGCAGGTTTAAAGCACTCTCATCCTAAAATCTTCATTTCCTGAAGTCGTTCTACATTCAGAATCTTTTTTTAAAATTCTTTTTCATGTTTATTTATTTTTGAGACAGAGAGAGACAGAGCATGAACGGGGGAGGGTCAGAGAGAGAAGGAGACATGGAATCCAAAGCAGGCTCCAGGCTCTGAGCTGTCAGCACAGAGCCCAATGCGGGGCTCGAACTCACGGACCGCGAGATCATGACCTGAGCTGAAGTCAGACGCTCAACCGACTGAGCCACCCAGGCGCCCCTACATTCAGAATCTTAAATGTTATCGTTCCACCTTCTGTCTTGCCAAGAGAGCTGCCTCGTGGCAGACAGGTCTGGGTTGGGGTCCCAGCTAAGCCATTTGCTAACCTCAGTTTCCTCATCTATAAAGCTCCAACAGTAGATGATACTGCAGAGAATATAGATATTAAATAATAAGAGAACTGAAGTTAAGGGGATTGTTGAAAGGACTGAGTGCTTATAGAGCAGTTGGGCCCAGGTCCGTTCTTCTCCATCCTGCCTACCAGGCCACACACTGATGTCCCTCACTCCAGCCAGCCCCTCTCTGACATTTATAGCTTCCCTATAACTTTGTCTTTCTGATACTGGACACACCATCCTGTATCAGTCTGGCTCTCTGCCTCAGATGCACATCCACCCGGGCTGTTGGTAAACAATGGTTTTTGTGGGGGTCACAGTCTGCTAGGCCATCCATCCTGCCCTACAAGCACGGAATGGGCCTGCATTTGGCTCTTCTTCCTGTTTCCCACAATAGCTACTCCAAACCTTTCCCCTTCGGGCCATCTTCCTACCCCGCCACTACTCCAGGTGTTATCGTTCATCTTATTTGTCTCCAGTGACCAGGGTTCTTAAACTATGGTCCACACAGGAATCCTGCACATCCCCAGAGGTTCTGATTTGGAAAGAGGTAGTGGGATTGAAATCTGCGATGTTAACAAGCAACCCCAGAGGATTTTGATGTGCATAATGCACAGTCTCCTTTTCACAGAAGCCTGTCCTAAGCCAGAAGCCCCTTGGAGCAGACATATTGTCTTATCTGATTTTCACCTCTAAATCCTGGGCGATAGATAGATGTTGGAAGGATCGCTTGAATGAATGAATTTGGCTGTCCCTGTGCGCTCCAGTATGTTACCATTCTCCTTTGAAATGCTAATTAGCTACAGCTGTGTAAATTCAGTTTAAAACTTTTTGATATGTTTATCTTTAATTTTTTATCCGTCCTTTCATTATATTGGGGGTAGGGAACTATAAAGAACTTGCTGTTTTCCCAGTAGTGACAATAGCTACAAAGTGGTAGACGAGACTGAAACAGAAGGGCAGAGATAAGTTGAACCTTTCCTCAGGCGGGGAAAGTACTTTTTTGACCCTCATTCTAGTGATTGGCCAGGCAGAAGTCCTGGCAGCCACTGAGGTGGGCTTTTCTAAAGTGGAAGTGATCTTAAGCGGGAAGATCACCGCCAGGGATGTTGGGAGAAGGTTACCTGGAGAAACAGGTAGGTGAATCGCAATGCAGGTTGGCATACCCAGTTGGTGGTGGAAAGAAAGGCTCACCTGGCTTCAGATCCTAGCTCGGCCATTGCCTAGCTCGCCCAATGGGTGTTAAATTGTTGGGGCGGCTCATCTGTAAAGTGGGGACACATATGATTTACCTTGCAAGCTCTTTTGAGCATTGAAAAGTGTAATCTAAGTAATGCACAGTGATTGCATGACGTTAAGCAAGCGAGTTGTCAAGAGAGCTGGGCATCTGGTTAGCTACTCGTTTCTGCAGCAGTAGAGGGCTGCACACATACTCACACCCCTACACCCAGTCTGCCTAGAAAACCAGAAGTGCTACCAGCTATTGCCCTCTGGGGAAGTGTAACTCTGAAACCTCATCCTCACTGTAATAAAATGTTTCCAGAGGGAGCAGACAGAACAACCCAGGGCCATGCCCTTCCACTTCCCTCTTGCCTGAGTGGAGCTCAGAGCCCGTCTTGGGGAAGTGGGGGGTAAACCAGTTCAGCATGGGTGGCTGGAACCGAAACGTTTCTTTTACCGCCCTCCTATCCTGCCGCCCCTCTCTCTCCTGTGCCGGGGGAGGAGAAACAGCTTATGCCTACAGTACCCACACGTACTTGAATCTGTTGTCCTCAGTCTCCTGACCCTACCTCATCATTCGTCAGGATTCACTGAATGCCCTCTGGGATCGGGGTGCTGTTCTAAATGCTTTATCTGGGACCTTTGTGGGAGCCTGTAGGAAGTTGGAGCCAATATTTAAAATCTTCCCCCAGCTCATGAAAACCAATGTTTAACCCTCACTTCATTCCCACCAGCAGGCCTGGCCAGAAAGAGTAACTTTTGCTTTGAATACTAAGAAACTTTGATCTAAATGTTAATACTGGGGCGCCTGGGTGGCTCAGTTGGTTAAGCATCTGACTCTTGGTTTCACCTACTGTCATGATCTCATGGTTTCAGGAGTTTGAGCCCCACGCCCGGCTCCACGCTGACAGTGCAGAGCCTGCTCGGGATTCTCTGTCTCCCTCTCTCTCTGCCCCTCCCCTACTGGTGCTGTCTCCATGTCTCTCAAAATAAATAAATAAACTTAAAAAAATAAATGTTAACACTAATGAACACCTATAAACCTTCTTTACAGAACTGTAGGCTCCCTTCCATCACTCCCTTGTTCTTGAACACGTATTTGCTTTTAGGAGAAGAATTTAGACTGGTTTCCTCGGATGCGAGCCATGTCCCTCGTGAGCAATGAAGGTGACAGCGAGCAAAATGAGATTCGGAACCTGCAGGAGAAGTTGGAATCCACCATGAGTCTGGTCAAACAGCTGTCTGGTCAGCTAGCAGAGCTCAAGGAGCAGGTCAGTGTGCTCAGGGAGCCGGGGCTAGAGCTGGGTGGGCTCGAATCATTCACCACCATTGAGTGAAGGGCAGTGAGGGGAGTGTGGGGAGACCTGGACACTCCTGGGGGCCAGATTGTTATTCACAGGGAACTGTAAATTCCAACGAAGAACCCTCACACTGTGCTGTATGAACCACATCCCCGCAAGTAGAGGCTTCCATTTGTCCCATTACCACCTGTGTGCCCCTTCTGCACCCACGGAAGTGGGGGAGAGGAGTAAACGCCAAAGTACAAGGGCCTCTTTGCACTTTTTGATAGAAACTGGTATTTTGTGCCATCCTAGCCATTACTAAATACATCAGAACGGCAGATCATCTTCAGAATCTGTCATTTCAATGCTATAATCAACCCTTTCATCGTGTAAAATTATTAGTGGTAGTAAAAATACTATCAAAAGTAACTGTGGTAGCTATTAAAAAGACTAGGCTGACGGTGATGATTGTCTGACAAGCAAAGAGCCGCTCTAAAAGAACCATGGTTCCTGTTTTTAACCACAGAGAGGGGTTTGCTTATTTTCTGCTTGTGGAAATTCACTTAAAAAAAAACATTTTCCCTTTTTTAAAGGTAAATAGATTCTATATGATGCCAGACACAGACTGTAGGTGCTTGGGAAATTTACCCCCAAGTTGTGCAGCCCACCAGCACTGGGGAAAAGTGAGAAAATGAGCTGAACACACTCTCTCTTTTCCCCCAGATGACAGAACAAAGGAAGAATAAGCAGAGACTGGGCTTTCTCGGATCAAACACACCCCATGTGAATCATCACATGCCACCACACTGATACCATGGGGGGGAAGCCGTGACTAGCCTTTCATCAGTGTCCTGCCTGATCACTGAATAAAGAACTGAGATGGAGGGGAGTGAACAGTGCCTATTGTTGAAAGTTAAAAACAACCAAGTGCCAAGATGTGGAGTGGTTTAGCTCTGAGAACAATTTATAACTGTTTTCATGGTTGAGGAGACCAAACTTAAAAGCTAGAAAGCACACATCACGCATTCTTAATGTAACTCCAAGTAGCTTGCTCACATGGAAGCAGAGGGGACGGGAGGCAGGGTGGAAAGGGGGGGGGTGTGGCGCAGAGAGAAGAATTACCTTTTGCTAAATCAACGAGGGAGGCTGTTTTGTCTTAAATACTGACTGCAACCTTCATCATGGTTGGTTGGGACTTCTTTCTTTTAATCATGGCATAGAAGCTAGTGATACAGGTATTCAGACTCTGGGGGCTGCATTTTACTAAGGAAAATAATGGAAAAGATTAAAAATGAGGGTTGCAAAGAAAAATGTTAATGCTTCCAAACCGTAGCTGTCACGGGGCTATTCTCTTATCTATCACATGCGACACAATGTATTTACAGCTCCACGAACATCGTGCTTTGGAGCTTCCGCCCCTCATGCTGACAGCACAACTGAGATGTGGTTGCTTTCTCCGAGATTCGGAGGGGCTCTGTCGATGTGGAGCACAAAAGGGGATTTTCATATAACCTGCTCAAAATGTGTTTTACGTCATGTATAGTGTAAGCTTTTTAAAGACTGGGGGAAGTAAAAGCTGACAGGAAGCCCCAGGGAGGAATTTTTGTGAACCTATGTATGTTATTAAAATATATTGAGAATAATAAATGAAAGTGCTTAAAGGTGACAGGGAATATTGAGAAACTTATGATGGTCACATTTCCTTTTATAAATAAGGAGTAAAAGCTTTTGATTCATGTTTGCTGTGCTTAAGGAACTGAGTGGTTTTATTTATCCTATTTCTGCAGTTAGGAAAAAAAAAAACTAAGAAATTTATTGAATGCCCAAGAAAATGCAGCATTTCAATTGCACGTTTTAAACTGTATCAGTAAGAGCTTTTCAACATGTAGAAAGATAATAATCTCTTTCCCAAATTGTTTCTATGTTAAATTATGCAACCAGGATTTGTGGAGAGGGAAAATAACCTGCCATGCTTGTAATATTTTTTGAGACTATACATTTAGAATGTTAAAGCAAACTGCCGGTAATGAAAGCACAGGACACCAGACTCTGGGAGATGCTTTGCAAGTTGATCTCTGGTCCCTGCCCCCATAGGAACAAACAATTCTCTCCAGAGTCTGTAAACTCTCAAGTTTTTACCGCCAAGGTTTAAGGTCTGGATGGGGTTTGCTATGACCATTTTGAAGCCTTTGAATGGTTGTCATTTAAACTATTGGCTCTTAAAATTCTCAAATCATGGTCTGGGTAGATCATAAAGGATTCCTGAACCAATCCTTCTTCCACAATGTTAAAATGTAGATTTGGAGAGAAGCTGTTGAAACCCAGAGCAGCAATTTTTTAGCTGAATCTACTGGTACCTCCCATCCCTCACCCCAGTACTTCCTCATGTTAAGAGTTCTTTACTGTGACACCATAGTATTTTCCCTTACCAGTCACTGAAGGACCATGATCCAAAAATACCAAGAAATTGGGATATCTATCTGCATGCAGCACAGAACTTTGAGCCTAGTAGGCATTCAACAGGTGTATGAGAAATTCCACTGATGCTCAATTACCCTTAATTCTTTATTAAAACTTTAAACTATATCACATACTTGATTTTTTTAAATGGCGTCACCAAAGCCAAAGTAGACCAAAGCAGCCATTGTTTTAATCCAAGACCATCATTGTTATAACAGTATTAAATGAAAGTACACTTTAAAATATTTTAATGAGACAGTGTGCAGGTGGGGAGAAGTGGAGAAAATTGGTAAGGATTGACCATACTCTGGTGTGGAAACCCATCTCTTTTTGAACACAAAATAAAATATTTTTGATGTCCGAACATCAGGAGAATAGATTAATTTGTACAGATGAGAGCAACCTGTTTTTCATGTGATGAACTATCTCTTCTTTTCTGGGACCGTGATAGGTCTTTTTGATAGTGAATAAATCATTGGGTAGATAACTGCCATCAACAAATGGCCTAAGGTCTCCAAACAGTGTTAGTGGCAGCTCACCATTTCACAGATCTTTTCCCATGGGGAGTATCCAAAAGAGATTGCAACTAACAAGACTCTTGTTCAAAATTGAAATATTTCTCAGTTGTGTTTTCTCTCCTGCCTAAAATCTTGGAGATTGTAGAGCAAAAGAAATAAAAACAAGCAAACAAAGAAGGCACTTTCCAGGCTCTTAAAGTCATGATGTTGCGAGGAGATAACGGGAAACTTGACATTTGGTAGAAGTTTATATTTGTTATGTATATGTTTGTTAATGCAACTGGAATATTTGACCTAGGCAAGTATCAGTTAACATTTTAATATTTATATAGTGACATTAAAATGAACACAATAATCGTTGATTTTGATGTTAAGGGAAATGTTTTTCTCTTTAGTTATTAAAATGCATATTAGTTTAAAAAGATCAATTTCTTCTGAATATAATTTTTATTTCAAAAGGATTTTATTCCCTTGCATGCTACATTGTGAGGCCCAAGAGTTTAGTGAAAGTATGTTTCCTAAGTTATAATATCATTTTAGGTAAGAAAATGTTTGTATCATATAAGACTATAATATTAATAAATAAATTATATACATGTAAAAATTATTTTTTCTACCCCTTGAGAAAGTTCATTTAGAAAGGGCTTATTTTCTTGCTTATTGAAATTCCTCTGTTGATGACAAAGATACAGTTTCTAGTAGTTTATTGATTATATCAGGAAGATATTTTGTTCAAGTCACAACTAATCATGTGTGCATTTCCATATTCTCAGCTCACAATGCATTGTTTTGATCTCTTTTTATAGTTGTTTTATTCCCTATAGTTGTTTTATAGTTGTTTATTACATACTAGGGTTGAGCTGAGTGGAGAGGTTTGTGGTCTTAAGATTTGGTCAGGGAAGGTGGAGATGGATCTTCACTATAATCAGGGAAAAGGAGTAAATGATAGATAATAGGAAGAAAAGGGTTGGCCCTGGAGCCCGGGGGGCGGGGGAGGGGAAATTAAGTAAATATTGTACAGGCATAATGATATAACAGATTACAGGCTCAAGAGATCACACTTAAACATGCATGGAACAATGCTTGGTGGAAAAGCAGCTGTTAAGAGGCATAGTCCCTCAGCTGTTCTTAAACTGTTACGGAATAGCGAATCGACATATTCTGACCCACAGACCAGCTCCAATACATACGACACATGATACGCTTCGAAACAGAGTGGAGCTAACACACGTGCCTATAGGAGCCAGGCAAGTCCCTAAAACGCATGACATTATGGGGTGTACACCATTTGTAGCGAGTGGGGAGGCTACGGTGAACTCTCTCTTTGCAAAATTTGACAACCATTTCCAGTATTTAGAAAATGCCCGAGGCCATTTGAAGCCCTCTGGTCACTCATTGGCTATCTCTAAAATAATTGTTGGTAAAACCATAGCATTTAGTAGAAGAAAACACAATGCCAAAACCAAGCAGGGGAGCTAATGTGCGTGGGAAACTGGAGAAACCGGAAAACAAAACCAACTGTCATCTCTGAACTGGAGTGTTTTCAAGGACTTGAATAGTTTATAAAATTATCGTACCAGTACTTCTCATATCATCACCAATAGACTTTTTTCCTGCTGTAGAGTATTACTATTTCTGCCTCAAGTAGTATGATTCTAATAGACTATGTCAAGAGCAGATAAGTATAATTTATAAATTATTATTAATAAATGGGATTTATACAACTTTTTTGTGTGTGACACTTTAAATGCTTTTTTTTTTCCATTTCTTACCGTTTTCCTAAATAATGTATCAGTATGAAAGTCATTATTATTGCTGTTTTACATAGCAAGACATGAAGGGCAAAAAATTGGGTGAGTTGAACCACACTGCACTAATCCAAATGGAACATTTTGCCCAACATTTGTTGGGAGTTGGCTAAATCCCCAACTGGCCAACAACTACCGGCATACGTATACTGAGTCTGGTGCCTCTGAGATGGGCTCAGTGGACACAGGCTGTTCAGTCATCTAGCATTTCCTGGTGCTTCGCAATGATAGTTCCCCTCAGAAGAGAACGAAGCATGCAACTGCTGAAATCAAAATGAGTTGCATGAATCACATGCAAACCGTGAATGGAATTCTTTGCTCATGTGGGCATTTTCCAGTATGCCACAGTTCCTTGAAGCAGTGTGGCAAGAATTGTTTTGTTTTGCTTGGAATCAGAGGAAAGGTTGGGGGAACGGACTTGGACAATGAGTTCCTCTTCCAGTAAGAATAATTGGCACGAAGGGCAGGAGTTTGCCTGTGGAGGGAGCGTGATGGACGTCTACAAGTCACCCTGCCTTTGGTCAGCCACGGTGCTTTGAGGAAGTCCTGGGAAAGCGTCATCTTCTTGACACAACTGTAGGCCAGAAGTCTGTGTACCTTAGCCTCCCTTCTGTCTTTTCTCAATAGCAGAGCTGCTGGGACATTATATGGAATCGGCCACATGACAAAGAAACACAGAAACCCAACTTTATGCAGGTAGAAAATTTATAGGAACAGAGATTAGTCGTTGAGCACAGTTGGACTCAATTCAACAGAAATTTCTCCTTTTTCTTTTTTTTCTTACACTTCAATGTGGATTTCCCCTAGAATAGCCTGTTCCCCTTTAATGCTGGTCCTGGGGATAAAGTCACCTCCTGAGAGAATTATCTCCTCACAGCTGTGGAAACGTGGATACAGGTGTGGATTTCTTTTGCAATCCACTGCAACACATCCCTCCAAAGTCCCACCCCTACCGCCACCCCATCACATCTATTTGCTTAGGAAAAAGTGCCTGAGCTGCTCCCTGTTCTAATAACTGCTTTTA